GGACATATTTTGGTTTTTTTTGTTTTTAACGAAAAGAAGTTACTTAAACTGGGACTAAAAATTTAAGGCATCATTCTCAGTCAATCCTAAGCATCTAGCACGACCACAGGCATCTGGCAAGTTTTAACTTGTTCTGGCTGATGTTGAGGTGTTCATACACTGTAGATTTGAGATGGTCTGTGAGCCCTGCTAGAGTTGAAGATGGAAAACATAATTGTCATAGATAAAAAAATGATGACAACATCAACTGGCAATCTGTTCATGGGAGAGCTGACAGGATGCGATATTAGTATAATGCATCCTGGTTGTGTTTCAACTATTTTTGAAAGTTGTTTTGAAGTTTAGTGTATGTATCCCTATTCACTCAGACTGGACTATTTTCTTTCTAGTTGTACAACACATATATTCCTTGACAAGCATTTCTTCTAGAAAACATCTCAGATCCTCTAATGCAGCTGAGATTAGACTCATTAAACATGAAGTTCACCGAATCAGGAAAAGACAACCAGCTTCTGAAAGTAGGTCTATGATTTCCTAGATAAGAAATTTCTACTCCAGCAGTGAAGACCAACTTTCTCATACAGGAGTAAGTGTATTTATGTTATTTTTCTACTTTGCATACAGACTGTCCTGGTTTAAGGTAAAACAGGACGAATTTTGCTCAGCAACCTTCCTTCTTAGCTAGGCTTCTTCTAACTGCTGAAATTAACAGCAGTGTGCAGACACTGTTCGCTCTCAGAGTGATAAGACCGATGTTTATAGCTGATGCCAGGGAATGGTACGCAGAGAGGCTCCTGCTTATACTTACTGCTGTAACACCCAAGGCCAGATAGCCGGGTTGTTTGCCCCACTGAAGGGTCAGAAGCAGCAGACTGTAAAGGGGTCGCACCTGTGGGGAGGAGTGGACAGGACGGGTGACCCAAAACTGACCAGCGGGGTATTCCATCCCATCTGCCTCATGCTCAGTATAAAAGCTGAGGGATCAAAAGGTCAGCTCTCTCTTTCTTCAATGGCCAGTGTCCAAGGAGGTCTCTATTCATCTGCCTTTGATCCTGAATGCAGATCCAGAATCCACTTTTGTCTGTCAGTGAGTCTAGTCTGGGACTGCCCCAGTGCCAGCTGATGACATGATTGTCATCCTGGGAGCTTCGTATTGTTTTGCATATATTTCATTATTTTATTTTTATTTTATTTTTAATATTTCATTAAAGTAGTTTAGTTCCTTCTAAACTTATAAGTCTCTTTTTCTTTCCTCTGCCTCTCTCTTTGAAGAGGGGTAGAGTGGAGCATCTGTTGGTCCCATCTGGGATCCCCCACATCCCCAGTAGCCAATTCGGCCTAAACCATGGCACAGACTAAAAGGAGACTTTTTAAAAGTGCTATAATTAGAGGCACATTTTAGCTGTATGAACTAACTCAGAACTAAATACATGCTTGAAAACACTGTTGTTGTTCTTCATCTTTAAGCCAATTTGCTCCATTAGACTATAATCTATCTTCCTCTTATTTCTTACACCTTTTTTTCATCAAGACATGACTGCCAAACTCCTCTGAATTTCAATTCATTGCATCTTCTACATGGCAAGATAAGTCTGACTTCTCAGAAAATCCTTTAGTCACCAGCCTTCTCTCCCTGCTCCTTCCATACAGCCCTCAATAGCTGTCTGTCATTAGTAAATTCTTTTCTTACCTCCCCACCCCTCACCCCCCTCCCACCCCCATTTATTTTATTTGTCCTTTTTCACTTTGTTATTTAGTTTCGGGATCTCAGCTAACTCCATAAGACTAACACAATGAACGGCACAATGCCTTTCTTTCAGGGACATACCCCTTTCAATGGAAACTGGAATTCCTTATCAGTTCAACTAAGCATCTTGTAGAGGATGCATGGGGAAAGCAAGGCATTTTAGAAAGTATCCAAATGAAAGAGCATAGAGTGGAAAGCCACCTAACTCAGCTGGTAGGGAAACAAAATGGGACTGGATCTTAAATCTTACAACTTGTCTGAGCATAAGAGCATATTCAAGCCTGCAAATAGTTTCTTACCTCACTAAGAAGACAATGTCAAACTTTGCTTGGCAATGCAGGGGATACACATTCAACTCTCACTCCTGCCATGAGAAATCACTAGTTGTGATTTTTGCTTACCAGAAATCTTAAGCATTTCTTCAGAGTGAAATATATAATGGTAGGAAAGTAAGCATGCTGTATGTCAAGCATCATGAGACACTATTCTGAAGGCTAAAGGCCCACTCTGAATTTTATCTGACTCACAGAAGTATTAAGAGTAATACAAGGCTGTTCTCAGAACCATGCATAGGGAGAAACAAAACCGTCAGTCTACCACCATTCGTTATGCCCTCAAGAAAGAAACAGAGTCAATCACAGTATACGGTCATCTTCAATAAAAACAGCTGGTTATGAATCTCAACTGCACACAGCTTATCTGGACCAAAACTGGACTATACACATATAAAAACTACAAGTGGTAAGGAACGGAAGCCAAAAGAGTATTCTTAAAAATACTCATAAATATTTAACAGAAAATATGACTGACCATAATAATCACACTCAAACTCTCAGTTTCCTTAAGTCTTCAAGACTAAGTGCTTTTTTGATTAATATCCTTCAACAAAATGGAAGTTACTTGGATCAATACAAGGTTAAATGAGTTTAATTTAATATACTATGATACACAAAGTCAGACTGAATGATCTAATGACTTCTCATCACTCTACAATTTAATAAACTACTAGAAACTGACAATAAGGCGAGACATACTTCCATCAGGGAATCTTACAAATCCAATTTTGGAGAAACTGTGGATAATCTATCTAAATATATGTATCATCATTATCATTCTCTTTTAGTCACAAGAGAATTTTACTCCTCAGTTCATATATTTTTTAAAAAACTCAGTATGCCACAGCAACTATATAATTAATAAAACCAGGATCTTTCAAAGTGCAATCCTCCCATCCTGATTTAATTGAGTGCATTTTTGTTGTATGTTATATATTCAGTGCAGACATGTCCCTTAAATGCTTCTATTTTTCATTTGACAATGAAGCCAATTTCCTATTTCCCATGTATGTCTGAAGAGAAAATCAATCATCATGGTACAGCCAAAGAAAAAAGTTTACAAGGCTCCCCAAAATGATTGTTTTACTCACATATGCAAGTACCGTCTAGTAGGTATTAGAAAGAAGTTGAGAGGAAATAACAACTTCCTTGATTTAGTTGTAGCAGCATTCAGTCAGACTGTGGGTGAATGGGAACTGATTCGTGCATAGCACAAATTATAAGCCTTGAAGATTTTTTGCACACATATTCTTCCGAGCTTTTACTGAAGGAAGGTACAGCTACATGGCATGTTCATTTTTAACAAGAAGCTTGCAGTGCAACTTTCCTTAATCACTGTGCATTGGATAAAAGCTAAAGGAATATGATTTCTACTTTCTTTTTAAACCAGCATTTGATATGTCATGCCAGCTACAGGATAAGGTGAAAGCTTTAAAGAGCCTAGAATCAAGAATTTGAAAAGACCTTACGTATAAGAAGCCAAAAGATATGGAATGTAGAAAACACAGATGGTTAAAAAAATTCCTGTGATCAGAGGATATATTCTATGACTATATTCTTTTTCTGGGATTCTAACCAAAGTCTTCAAATCAATTCTTGTCATCATACCTGCTTTGCATGATAAAATAGCTGAATATATTTAAAGCCTTTTCATTTATTTGTGTAATAATCTGCATAAAATATGTAGTTGCACGACATAATGATTAGAATGAAGATGTGGTATTGGAAGATTGTTCTTCTTCTTAAATACGTAACAAATTCACAGCAAGGTCACCTATTACTATAAGAGATGCTATTAACAAGAATTTCAGAACTATAAAAGCTCTTTCTTCAACAGTGGAAATGTATCTTCTTTTACTGTTTTCAACTCAGGCAAGTGAAGGAAAAGAAGGAAGGATATGAAGATGAGAAGAATTACATGTGTTTTAAATTATTTTTGTTCAGATTTTATACAATTGCTTTTGGATTCTAAAATTCATCTACTTCAGTGCAACTACAGTGTTTTTTTCAGACATAATATAAATGAGATCATACTTGCCCAGTGATTATCTCACATGAGAGGTGGGCTGGAAATAACTGTTTACTTCCAAGTCCTTTTTTGATCAGCAGATTGATAGCTTCCATTTCAGTCTGCATTAGAACTTTTAGCAGTTGCATCAGCTAATGACTGGAAAAACTTATCATCTATAACCCAGTGTTGGTCAACCCATGTAAACAAAGAAGGAAACCTCTTGATAATAGAAGGTGCCTAGTTTTTTTAGTCATCACAATGTACTAACAATGCCGTCTTTCGAAGGAAGACTTGAAATATTTCCAGACCAAACTCTACTCACATTTTATCAGTTTCAAAACATCATGTTCTTAAAAATGATACGCTGATGCTTAAAATGTAACAAGTGATGCTATGACTGCTCTATAACTGTTTTATAAATTTCATGCTTGAGTGAAAAATGACTAAGTGTATGAATACTGACAATAGAATCAATGTTTTAATGAAAATAGTTTGAATTATATCTAAGACAAAAGAGCAAAAAGGAAAAAATTACCTTTTAACCACTTTTGTTTCATATAGAAAGGTAGACAAAAGTAAGAGGCAGAAAAAAAGAAAATTTTCAAACCCAAATATTTAAAAATATGAAACAGAGTAGGAAGGTTGTGAGCCAAATCTCAAAAGCACAGATTTAACTGCAATCTGAACTCAAAGGGTAAACAGTGAGCCTTCAGTTCTAAATTTAAAGCCCTTGGTAATATATATATTAAACAAAATGCACTGCCACTCATGAATACTACATACAAAAACATGGAGCACCAGAATAGAGATGGTACAGCCATGCAGGAAAAAAAAAATCTATTATTAAGCTAATATTAAAAAGGTGATGCATTAAAAAGTATTGTGTTTTTTTTTTAAATTCACTCACTTGTGACCAATCTCATGTGCAATGGTAAAAGCTGAACCTAGGCCAATGTCTTCATTAATGCTGCAGCTCCTTTCAGGCTCACACATTCCAGCCACAGAGGCCAAGCCTGAATAAACAGAAGGAGACACAAAGGTCATGCCAAAGTTTTTCAATCTTAAAAGCCCTTGTTATAAATGCCTGGATTCTTTTTAATAACCTCTATGCACAGAAGGAGCAGTTGGCAAAAGGTTAACTTTCTAGTCATTTGCAAAATCACTGGGGGGAATTTCACTTTGCCGGCTAGACATTAAGATTTTTTGAACTGCAGTCAGTGCTGGAAAATGTCTAGACTAGGGGTTAGATTTATAAATTTTACTTCTGGTAACTTGGGACCACCTAGTAACTTGAGCCAGGAGAGGGAATTCAAGAAAACATTTCTATTTTAACATTCTTGAGCCTGAAGAAAGCAAAATGCATCCACATTATTTTTCTAAAGAAATCTGTTTAAGTTTAGTGGGTTCATAAAAACATACAAGCAACTTTTTTAGCTATGAAAAACCCCACATGGTACGTTAAAAAATTAAAAAAACAAAACTGAATGCATCAATGAAGAGAGAGGAGACATGTTAGTAACAAGCATTCGTTTAACCATGGAAGTTTTTTCCATTTATCACCCATCATCTTCTGGAATTAAAACCTTATTACAAGCACTTTTAAAAACTTTCTTTAGAGAGAGAAAGCCACTGGTATTTACAGAATATAGCTCTTCTGTACCTTACACATTCTTCAGCAACAGATTATCACACAACGTACTGCAATAATAATTTAGTGCCACTAGAGAAAGCTCTGAACATTGCATTTATTTAACGTATTCCTCCCTAGAGTTTCTTATCTGAAAGAAGCAGTAATCCTTTCCTTAAGGAAATTACCCGCTC